AGACTTTGAGGCAAACACCGACTTTAATCGCAAATTTGATGTGATTTTTCTGTGTCAACGAAGTGAGTGGGTGAAACTTTAGAAGCCTAACTTTTCGACCAGACGTCGCCCTCACAAGTATCTGAATTTGTAATATGCCCTCTAAACTATAACGCCACGTCCTTCGAGAAACTTCAAGGAAACCACCGAAAATTTTCCATGGGTAAAACATACCAAATCCAATGCGGCATGAACGGGATAAAACCGCTGTGTTAATTTTTGGTAATATAAGTGAGACTAACGGTGCGGCCCTTATATGGTAGCACTGGTCTTGCACGTCTCACCGCTTATATCAGTAGCTTACAATGCGTTGAAAATGGTAAGAGGTCATTTGTTATGGATTAGAACTGATTTCGTTCGTTCTGGGACTCCTTGCAGAAATCTAGAATGCCTCAAGCGTTTTTCAAGTGGAATTCTCAGTCTCGTGCGCTAAGATCTTGCACTTCACACCATGTTGCTTCCGCGATGCTCGATCAGATGCTTCTCTAGCGGTGTTGTGAGACAGCGTTTATACTTTGCGTCAGCGCTCACCACCGTTTTCGCTGGCAGCTGCGCTCAAGTTCAAAAGTGCCTGTGAAAACGATGCTGTACGGTGGCGTTCGGTATCTATACTTTCTCAGTCGCTGGCGCTGGCATACGCTCGAAATGCTGCTGAACGCCGACGCAAAGTATGAACGCAGCCTTCCGTTACCACTCCTCGTTGGCACAGAAGAATAACTTCAAAAGAGAAGTCAATTACAGTAACATGCGACACAAAGGGAAATCAAACTCACCCTACTATTCAAAAAGCCTGCATTCATTTTGAAATCGTCCATCTTACCCACAACTTCCATACGATAGCCGGTGGAGTAAACCAGCACGCCATTCTTTTCATGATCCGCTAATGGCATTAACGCCATTGGCATGACTTTTATCTTTGGTGGATGACCTCCGTACTTGGTTTCTTAAGAAATGTGAAAATCGAGAGGGATACACTGGAAAAATCTGAAAGTCGTTGCGGCACTTACTTTCGTAGTTCTTGAAGAGAACCCTTTCTTTGCACCTTTTCGCTTTGGAGTAGTCTACCAAATCACATGGATCAACATTTGCACCGTCGCCTTCGACAAATCCTTCGTCTTCCTCTTCTGCACCAAAGAATCTTTCACGACGTCATACAAACACTATAATGGGAAGATTACCTCCTTTTTTCTTCTTCTTTTTAGTCTTCTTTGGCTGTAACGCCTCGAAAGAAGTGGACAGCTTGGGAATGAACATAGTCAACCTTTTTGCCGAACACATACGCTGATCCCTGAATAAGGGCATGGCGTTGGCTTCGGCGAATTGAACCTAAACAGGATAAGCCTACTGAAGAGGCGAAGGTCTAATGGAAATCAAGAAGTCGTGTGAATACGTCGGGGAAGGATTAGCAGGAGTAACGAACTGTGATGATTGTCACCCAACACGGTGTGCCGCATCGGAAGCATCGTAAGGCCTGTCACAAGTATGTCATCTAGTTCTTCGCGGATGTTTGATTCAATAATTTTCCTAATCTTCCGGGCGGAGAGAAAGTGTAGCGCTTGACGACTGCACCTCGAAGTCCTCCGCCATTCCATCTGACCAAACTAAAGTGAGCTTGAAAAACATACACATCATCAACACGTGAAACAAGGCAGCTCTGTAGTGAAGGCGGATACGAGGTGTTTGGGGCATGGCCGTTGTTCTGCCCTCCTCCCTCCCTCCCCCCCCTCTAAGTGAGCGTTTGCCGCATGACTGTGATCGTCTGCGGCTCGTAGCAAGCTCTCATCTTCCCGCGCCCCTCAAACCACAGTAAGCACCAAAAAAACCGCGTTTGATCTTGGAGGGGTATTGACTGTGGCTTTGCTGATTCGTTTTTAATTGGTCAGGTTAAACGAAGATTCTCCTTTACTGGTTCGTTTTATTGGTTCAGGCTGAACACAGGTCTCCCTCTGACGTGACCTAAACCCTGTAAAGTTGCGGCGAGGTACGAAGGGTCACTTCATAGGACTTTACGCTCATTCACAAGTGGCCTGTACAAGCATAGCTGAGTACCATTTGGTGCCCCTACATCCATTTCATCAGATCAACTACAGTAACACCATAAATCGAAACAATGCTACAACAACAGCAAAACAGTATCAAGGAAAGAGAAGGAGAACTTCAACTCTTACGCATCCAAGAAGAACAAAGTAAGTACAGTAAAATTTATTCGCTGTAATAAACTTTCTGGAAGTACTATCAATCTAAATGGAGCGAGCTCTATGATCCTTGTCAGCGTTAAGACGCCTTTTCTCCGAGAAACTATTTCTTCTCTGGAAGGGCTAATCCCACCAGATTTGCACTTTCTTCAACTGATCGTTCCTTTCCACGATACCGTCTTTCGAGCTCCTTCAAATTCCGAGTGCTAAAAAGTTAACAAATTTGTCATGACACGGAGATTCTTGAGAACTTTCCATGAGATAAAACTGCATTTAGTTCGTATAAGCAGAAGGTATTCTCCAGTGAGTGTTTTGATGCAGACCCCTCAAGATATTCAAAATCACGAAACCATCCCCTTCGTCGGAAATTTTCAGAAGAGATATCCACCCAGTTTCAAAGAGAGAAGTCCAGAAAAATCGTGGGAAATCGGGAAAAAATTAGGAAGATTTTAGGTGGGAGGGGCCAGTATCAGAGCAGGAGATTCTAAGGGTGTCGTATTTTACAGAGATTTTCCCCAACAGCAAGACGTGTTCTGATCGTGTTCTCAGAGTACTTTAACGACAAACGACGAGAGACTGAAGCTTCTAGCTTCGGCTGAATATGTATAAAATTGGGATTTCCCTAATATACGCGAAATGTTACGCCAAAAGGCTACATTTTTAGTGCAAGTGGAGTAGTATAATTAGTAAACAGGCAGGATAAACAAATTTAAATCAAATTGCATGAGCATAAGGTTATAATTTTGACGCTACGTGAATACCATAATCTCAACCAAACTACCTTGACAAATATGTTGCGTAAAGATTGGCTACGTGCTCAGCTTCCTCTGGTGCCTTCGAATATACACGCTGGGTAACTTGGTGGTCTCTCATTTGATCTACCAAGAATCTGTATTGCGTGGAATTCCGGCTGAAACTCTGGAACCAGGAAAATAAGAGAGAAAAGCGAACTTATCAGATTTACGCAAGCTCGTTTGATAATTCGCCTGCGAAAGCAGGAAACTAACCTTATAGATTACGTAAAGCTCGCTGATAAATGCGCCTGAAAGCATTCAGCTGTGCATTTTTTCGGCGGTCATTGCCATTTACCTCAACAAAGAACAGTGAACTTATAATTGTAATCAAGCACGCATAGACGCACGCACTATACAGATTCGCACCAAATATACAAGATATCCACTTAATAAGTGGAAAAAGATTAAAAATATCGTAAAAGACAGCGTTAGGAAGCTGAGGTGGCTAACGTATTTGGGGGGGGGACCACGCGGCGAGCGGCGAGCGATGACTCATCCGCTCTTCTGCTCCCTCCTCGGCAAAAAAGAAGTAATTTCATGTTTAGGACATGGATAAACACCGTCCTAGCTATATTCAAAAGCTAAAACAGTTAAGGCTGAAAAGTGCGAAGAAACAGTTGTAGGCTGGAAGCTTTTGCCTAAAATACAAACGATTGTTGCCTTTTTGTTGATTCTTGACTATAAAAGATCAAATATTTGTTGTTTTCAGCTTCTGTGGGATTTCCCAGCAAATTCCCGGTAACTTGTTTGTTTCATTCTAATTTGGCCTGCCGCTAGATTCGCGCTTCAGGTATGCCTATGAGTGAAGAGCTGATGAGTCATCACTCGCCGCTTGCCGCGTGGTCCCCCCAAATACGTTAGCACCTATGAAGCTCACATATTTATCATAGATTTTGGATGTTACTGCGCATCATTAAACAACATTAGTCAATAGCCCAACGTAAAAAAGCTCAGCAGTACCTGACAAAGAGGAGCGTTCGCAATAAAAATGCCGAAATTTCTCCCGCGCAGCTCTACGCTGTTTAAAGAATGCGTTGGACGCATTCGTCAGAACTTAGACGCTAACTTTGTACCTAAAATCACCCCAGTAGGAGACCGTACGTGTCGCCGAAATATTGCCCATGAAGAACAGCAAAGATTATGTTTATGCATGCATAACTTTTGATCTAGGAAGTTGTATTGTACCCTGCAGAACACTGCTAAGAAAATCTGACGTGAAGAAGAACCCCTGCAGCCTTTTTATTTTATGATTTGCGTCGGCATTTAAAAAAATGATGCTGGAGCCATGGGGGTCGTTTGAGAGTAACTACAGTCGTCTTTCGTTTGCACTTGATAGTTCAATGTCAGTGCGGTGCGCTGGCGGCTGCGTGCGGCGCGGTCGCCCGCACCCGTACTGCACCAATCGTTGAACCAGGAAGTGACATTACTGTATTATATCCTTCGTGTTACTCGTTTTCTATCACTTTTTGTCGCATACGCGTTTCAACGAAAAGGCTGAGAAGGCTTCAAACAGTGTGCACGCTCCTTCTCGCCGACACGCCCCTATCAAGTGCAAGGATGACGACTGTACTGTACAGCCCCGCCGAAGCACTTCTAAATTTCGGCGAAGATATGAAGCGCGATTTTCAATGAAACCTATAGCCAAATGGAAAAGATGTGCTTTGTATTCAGGCCCCAGCACCCGTTGGGTTGGGAAAAGAAACAATCTGAATGAGGGGGCGGGGTGGTCGCAAACTTGGCCGTTGGCAGGAGAGGCGGAAAGCCATAATTAGCCCGAGAAATTTGTTTTTGATAGTTAATTTCTCCGTTCGTCATCATCGTTCGATGATCCTAATAGGAGAAAGCGCCTGAACGGAGGAGTAAAACTGAGGGGGGGTCGTATTTTGCGTCGGGAGGGGCCAGCGCACATCATCGCCGTGTACGCGAAGAATAGCGCAGCGTCGATTACGATTTCCTGAAAAGCGAGGGGTTCCGGTACGACCCTCCACATACTAGCCCATACTCCCGAAAAAATCCCGAACGTCTTGCAGTTGAGAGGAGAGGGATTATAGGTGGGCGGGAGACGGTAAAGAGGATCGTGATTCGCCGTACCCCGTGCGCGGCGTTTTTCATAACTCGTTTTAACCTGTCGAATGGAGCACCGGACTTCATGTAGACCCCGTCATCGTGGACACTCATTACTGTTTTCGGTTCGAAGTAATTCTCCAGCTTCTCTCTTCTTGCGCAACCTCGGCATTTCAGATGTAAGTTCTTAACTTGTTTTGCGCCTTACGAGGTTGATAGGTGGAACTATTTATTCAATATGGCCTAACGTTTCGACTGAATCGTCGTCATCAGAGGCCTGAATGTGTTTCAAGGATTAGATTGCGCTCTACTCCACCAAGCGCCTCGTCAACTCTAGCGGTTCCGACATCGTGTCAGGAACCCCTCGAGAAGACCCCAATAATGCGAAAGCCAACCCACCGACGGTTCCACCTTATTAGGGACAGTGTCCGCAGCCACACAAGAGCGACAGTTAGTTATAAATGAAGAATACCGCGCTGTCTCCGTATAGTAGGCCAAGTATTGGGGAGACGCACGCCGTAGCGCTCTGTCATTCTACAGCTCGCAGTGTTCTATGAACGGCAGAAGGTCATTTGTTATTGCAGGACACTCATCTCGGCTGTTCATTCTGGGTTTTCTGGTGAAAATCCAGAACGCTTCTAATGCTTTTCTTGCGGAAATTTCCGTCTCATGTGCCAGCAATATGCACTTTATTTCGAACTCTACACCATTATGCTGCTCAACTTTATGCCTTCCGAGGGCTGTTGTGAGGGTACCGCGTCTCATACCTGCAAGATGTTCCTTGAGGCAATC